AGGGGGACGCCGAGATCCCCCCTCAGGCGGAGCGGAGCGAGGAGGGGGACGCCGAGATCCCCCCTCAGGCGGAGCGGAGCGAGGAGGGGGACGCCGAGATCCCCCCTCAGGCGGAGCGGAGCGAGGAGGGGGACGCCGAGATCCCCCCTCAGGCGGAGCGGAGCGAGGAGGGGGACGCCGAGATCCCCCCTCAGGCGGAGCGGAGCGAGGAGGGGGACGCCGAGATCCCCCCTCAGGCGGAGCGGAGCGAGGAGGGGGACGCCGAGATCCCCCCTCAGGCGGAGCGGAGCGAGGAGGGGGACGCCGAGATCCCCCCTCAGGCGGAGCGGAGCGAGGAGGGGGACGCCGAGATCCCCCCTCAGGCGGAGCGGAGCGAGGAGGGGGACGCCGAGATCCCCCCTCAGGCGGAGCGGAGCGAGGAGGGGGACGCCGAGATCCCCCCTCAGGCGGAGCGGAGCGAGGAGGGGGACGCCGAGATCCCCCCTCAGGCGGAGCGGAGCGAGGAGGGGGACGCCGAGATCCCCCCTCAGGCGGAGCGGAGCGAGGAGGGGGACGCCGAGATCCCCCCTCAGGCGGAGCGGAGCGAGGAGGGGGACGCCGAGATCCCCCCTCAGGCGGAGCGGAGCGAGGAGGGGGACGCCGAGATCCCCCCTCAGGCGGAGCGGAGCGAGGAGGGGGACGCCGAGATCCCCCCTCAGGCGGAGCGGAGCGAGGAGGGGGACGCCGAGATCCCCCCTCAGGCGGAGCGGAGCGAGGAGGGGGACGCCGAGATCCCCCCTCAGGCGGAGCGGAGCGAGGAGGGGGACGCCGAGATCCCCCCTCAGGCGGAGCGGAGCGAGGAGGGGGACGCCGAGATCCCCCCTCAGGCGGAGCGGAGCGAGGAGGGGGACGCCGAGATCCCCCCTCAGGCGGAGCGGAGCGAGGAGGGGGACGCCGAGATCCCCCCTCAGGCGGAGCGGAGCGAGGAGGGGGACGCCGAGATCCCCCCTCAGGCGGAGCGGAGCGAGGAGGGGGACGCCGAGATCCCCCCTCAGGCGGAGCGGAGCGAGGAGGGGGACGCCGAGATCCCCCCTCAGGCGGAGCGGAGCGAGGAGGGGGACGCCGAGATCCCCCCTCAGGCGGAGCGGAGCGAGGAGGGGGACGCCGAGATCCCCCCTCAGGCGGAGCGGAGCGAGGAGGGGGACGCCGAGATCCCCCCTCAGGCGGAGCGGAGCGAGGAGGGGGACGCCGAGATCCCCCCTCAGGCGGAGCGGAGCGAGGAGGGGGACGCCGAGATCCCCCCTCAGGCGGAGCGGAGCGAGGAGGGGGACGCCGAGATCCCCCCTCAGGCGGAGCGGAGCGAGGAGGGGGACGCCGAGATCCCCCCTCAGGCGGAGCGGAGCGAGGAGGGGGACGCCGAGATCCCCCCTCAGGCGGAGCGGAGCGAGGAGGGGGACGCCGAGATCCCCCCTCAGGCGGAGCGGAGCGAGGAGGGGGACGCCGAGATCCCCCCTCAGGCGGAGCGGAGCGAGGAGGGGGACGCCGAGATCCCCCCTCAGGCGGAGCGGAGCGAGGAGGGGGACGCCGAGATCCCCCCTCAGGCGGAGCGGAGCGAGGAGGGGGACGCCGAGATCCCCCCTCAGGCGGAGCGGAGCGAGGAGGGGGACGCCGAGATCCCCCCTCAGGCGGAGCGGAGCGAGGAGGGGGACGCCGAGATCCCCCCTCAGGCGGAGCGGAGCGAGGAGGGGGACGCCGAGATCCCCCCTCAGGCGGAGCGGAGCGAGGAGGGGGACGCCGAGATCCCCCCTCAGGCGGAGCGGAGCGAGGAGGGGGACGCCGAGATCCCCCCTCAGGCGGAGCGGAGCGAGGAGGGGGACGCCGAGATCCCCCCTCAGGCGGAGCGGAGCGAGGAGGGGGACGCCGAGATCCCCCCTCAGGCGGAGCGGAGCGAGGAGGGGGACGCCGAGATCCCCCCTCAGGCGGAGCGGAGCGAGGAGGGGGACGCCGAGATCCCCCCTCAGGCGGAGCGGAGCGAGGAGGGGGACGCCGAGATCCCCCCTCAGGCGGAGCGGAGCGAGGAGGGGGACGCCGAGATCCCCCCTCAGGCGGAGCGGAGCGAGGAGGGGGACGCCGAGATCCCCCCTCAGGCGGAGCGGAGCGAGGAGGGGGACGCCGAGATCCCCCCTCAGGCGGAGCGGAGCGAGGAGGGGGACGCCGAGATCCCCCCTCAGGCGGAGCGGAGCGAGGAGGGGGACGCCGAGATCCCCCCTCAGGCGGAGCGGAGCGAGGAGGGGGACGCCGAGATCCCCCCTCAGGCGGAGCGGAGCGAGGAGGGGGACGCCGAGATCCCCCCTCAGGCGGAGCGGAGCGAGGAGGGGGACGCCGAGATCCCCCCTCAGGCGGAGCGGAGCGAGGAGGGGGACGCCGAGATCCCCCCTCAGGCGGAGCGGAGCGAGGAGGGGGACGCCGAGATCCCCCCTCAGGCGGAGCGGAGCGAGGAGGGGGACGCCGAGATCCCCCCTCAGGCGGAGCGGAGCGAGGAGGGGGACGCCGAGATCCCCCCTCAGGCGGAGCGGAGCGAGGAGGGGGACGCCGAGATCCCCCCTCAGGCGGAGCGGAGCGAGGAGGGGGACGCCGAGATCCCCCCTCAGGCGGAGCGGAGCGAGGAGGGGGACGCCGAGATCCCCCCTCAGGCGGAGCGGAGCGAGGAGGGGGACGCCGAGATCCCCCCTCAGGCGGAGCGGAGCGAGGAGGGGGACGCCGAGATCCCCCCTCAGGCGGAGCGGAGCGAGGAGGGGGACGCCGAGATCCCCCCTCAGGCGGAGCGGAGCGAGGAGGGGGACGCCGAGATCCCCCCTCAGGCGGAGCGGAGCGAGGAGGGGGACGCCGAGATCCCCCCTCAGGCGGAGCGGAGCGAGGAGGGGGACGCCGAGATCCCCCCTCAGGCGGAGCGGAGCGAGGAGGGGGACGCCGAGATCCCCCCTCAGGCGGAGCGGAGCGAGGAGGGGGACGCCGAGATCCCCCCTCAGGCGGAGCGGAGCGAGGAGGGGGACGCCGAGATCCCCCCTCAGGCGGAGCGGAGCGAGGAGGGGGACGCCGAGATCCCCCCTCAGGCGGAGCGGAGCGAGGAGGGGGACGCCGAGATCCCCCCTCAGGCGGAGCGGAGCGAGGAGGGGGACGCCGAGATCCCCCCTCAGGCGGAGCGGAGCGAGGAGGGGGACGCCGAGATCCCCCCTCAGGCGGAGCGGAGCGAGGAGGGGGACGCCGAGATCCCCCCTCAGGCGGAGCGGAGCGAGGAGGGGGACGCCGAGATCCCCCCTCAGGCGGAGCGGAGCGAGGAGGGGGACGCCGAGATCCCCCCTCAGGCGGAGCGGAGCGAGGAGGGGGACGCCGAGATCCCCCCTCAGGCGGAGCGGAGCGAGGAGGGGGACGCCGAGATCCCCCCTCAGGCGGAGCGGAGCGAGGAGGGGGACGCCGAGATCCCCCCTCAGGCGGAGCGGAGCGAGGAGGGGGACGCCGAGATCCCCCCTCAGGCGGAGCGGAGCGAGGAGGGGGACGCCGAGATCCCCCCTCAGGCGGAGCGGAGCGAGGAGGGGGACGCCGAGATCCCCCCTCAGGCGGAGCGGAGCGAGGAGGGGGACGCCGAGATCCCCCCTCAGGCGGAGCGGAGCGAGGAGGGGGACGCCGAGATCCCCCCTCAGGCGGAGCGGAGCGAGGAGGGGGACGCCGAGATCCCCCCTCAGGCGGAGCGGAGCGAGGAGGGGGACGCCGAGATCCCCCCTCAGGCGGAGCGGAGCGAGGAGGGGGACGCCGAGATCCCCCCTCAGGCGGAGCGGAGCGAGGAGGGGGACGCCGAGATCCCCCCTCAGGCGGAGCGGAGCGAGGAGGGGGACGCCGAGATCCCCCCTCAGGCGGAGCGGAGCGAGGAGGGGGACGCCGAGATCCCCCCTCAGGCGGAGCGGAGCGAGGAGGGGGACGCCGAGATCCCCCCTCAGGCGGAGCGGAGCGAGGAGGGGGACGCCGAGATCCCCCCTCAGGCGGAGCGGAGCGAGGAGGGGGACGCCGAGATCCCCCCTCAGGCGGAGCGGAGCGAGGAGGGGGACGCCGAGATCCCCCCTCAGGCGGAGCGGAGCGAGGAGGGGGACGCCGAGATCCCCCCTCAGGCGGAGCGGAGCGAGGAGGGGGACGCCGAGATCCCCCCTCAGGCGGAGCGGAGCGAGGAGGGGGACGCCGAGATCCCCCCTCAGGCGGAGCGGAGCGAGGAGGGGGACGCCGAGATCCCCCCTCAGGCGGAGCGGAGCGAGGAGGGGGACGCCGAGATCCCCCCTCAGGCGGAGCGGAGCGAGGAGGGGGACGCCGAGATCCCCCCTCGGGGGGGGGGGGGGGGAAATAATTTATTAAAAACCCCTTAGTGAGTAATAAGACCAATATTGAAACACCGCTACCGAGAGCTGACAAACGCGCGGAGCGCTCGGCGGCCTCTCCCCGAAGGGGCCGCTGAGGGAGACCCGGCCGGGGGCAGGCGGAGCTGAGGGGGGGCTCCTCGCCTCAGGCCCCCGCATCCCCTCGCGGAGTCGGGGGCCAGGGGCGAAGTGAAGATCCCCTTCAGCCAGAGCAGAGCGACGGGGGGAGGCAAAGATCCCTTCAGCCGGGGGCCACGGGCGAGAAGGGAAAGCGAAGAGCCGCCGGAGCTGGGGGAGAGGGAGGAGAAGCGAAGATCCCCCCTCAGGCGGAGCGGAGCGAGGAGGAGTCGGGGGCCAGGGGCGAAGTGAAGATCCCCTTCAGCCAGAGCAGAGCGACGGGGGGAGGCAAAGATCCCTTCAGCCGGGGGCCACGGGCGAGAAGGGAAAGCGAAGAGCCGCCGGAGCTGGGGGAGAGGGAGGAGAAGCGAAGATCCCCCCTCAGGCGGAGCGGAGCGAGGAGGGGGACGCCGAGATCCCCCCTCAGGCGGAGCGGAGCGAGGAGGGGGACGCCGAGATCCCCCCTCGGCCGGGGGCGAGGGGAGGGGAAGCTGCACTCACCGGCTGCGGGGAGCCGCACCGGCTGGGCGAGGAGCGGGAAGGAGCCCGGACGAAGGACGGCGACGGGCAGGTGGCTGGAGCGGCACCTCCGAACGGGAGCGGGCTCCACCGAGCAGGCAGCCCCGAACTCATGCGCACTGCGGCCGGCCACCACCCACGGCGGGCGGGTTAAAGCGACAGGCGTGGGGCCGGCTCGTCCCATGTGGGGAGCGGCGCCCCGTCACGGCTCCGCCTCGCCCGGGCGGGACGGCCGCCTTTGTCCCGGGCCCTCTGGGCTGGGCATAAGGCCGGTACCTCTCCCACCTTTCCTCCCGGGCGGCTGCCTACGCTACGGTCGGGTCGGAGGGTCCTCTCCTGAGGTAAAACCCTGCCCAGACCGTCGCCTCAGGGCCGCAGTCCCCGGCCCCCGTCGTGAGGGGAGGGTCGGCCCTGATCCTGAGGGGTGAATTGTGTCAGATCTGGTGTCTGTGGGGCTTGTGCCTCCGCTGAGCCTCCCGGAAAGTTTGAGGGCAAAAGAGGTGAAAACAGAGGGTGGAAGATGACTGGCCTGACTGAGCCCCCTGCCTGAGCCTCCCTCTTGTGTGAGGAAAAGAAAGAGGTTTGCGTGCCTTGTTAACCTGTGCCACCCGTATATTTAATACCTCAGTAACAAATTCTGCCGATTCGTACTTTATTTATTGCTAATATATCATCATACTGGCTGGTATTTATCAAATAATCATATCCCCTCCCTCCTTCACTGTGCAAGGCCAAGGCAGCCATCAAATTAACAATTTGGCTTATATTTCACTCTAAAAAGTCAACTCCCCTCTCACGAATCCTTGTTTCTCACCCATGCAGTGGTGGCAGGAATACTACTAGAGCAGAACGTACCTCAAAGTATGGAAGATGGACATGTTTCAGAAAGATGCAACCCTACCCAAAACAAATGTTGTAAGAGAACTGGGAAGGGAGAGCTGTGCAATTTGTGTCAGCAAGGGCTGGGAAATGGTAAGACCATCCCCAATCTGCAGCTTTCTCTTGAGCGTCCTCCAGAGCAGCAGGACTGGTGCCCAAGAGGTAACCAAGTGCTTAAGATTCCCAAAAGATATTCACCTTATGTAATTTTTGGTTATTTTGAAGCTGGTGTCTAAGCTGTTTGGTCATTCTGTGGTTCAAGAGAGATAGGGTATCTCCACCAGCTGCTTAAGACAGCTTGGACAAATCATGTTGTGGAGAAACGTGTCTCCAGTGGTTGTAGAGTGGTGAAGCCTGACCAGAGTCCTACGTGTCTCTCCGGAGTGAAGGCCTAGTTTATAGCTTGCTAATGTTAGGTTAGATAAATCCCACCTCTATATTTTGTTCTTGGCTCTACCAGCAGCTTGGTACAGGATCATATGACTTTCCCATGTAACATCTGTTACACAACAGTACGGGAAAGTGCCTTATCAAAGTGGGAGTGGTGTCTACTATATACAGCATGTAGACCCTGGTTAAGGGATACATCTTTCTTCGGGAAACATATTTATTTCAAGAATATACTTAAAGGCAAGTATGTGCTTTACTGATTTCCAGTGCAGGAACATCAATAGACAGATGCAAAGTGCTTTGAGATTCGTTCATCAATGTGGGATGTTAGATAACTTCCATCTATTACTCTTACAGCATTATGTGTAAATATATGCTAACTCACCCTGCCTGAGCCAAAGCTCTCCTTGCCGAGTAGGACATCGCCTTGAGGAAGCTCTTAAGAGTTCCAGGGCTTTGTCAGCTCCTCAGTGTTATTTTCTTTATTTCTTTATTTACTCTCAGCACCTTGTAATATCAGGTCTAGTCTTACGTTAAAAATGTGCTCTGTCTACATTTTTTCTACCTCAGGCATGTCTGAAAGAGGTTTTTGTTCTTTTGCTCATCATTTTGTATGTTTTTTCTTCTTTCCTCGTTCTTCAACGTTACCGACTGCTAATCCCAACACTGACTTTATTCTAGGAGAGCAACTGTGTGTTGACACATTCTGTCCTGCAGGTGAGGAAATCTCTGGTGCACAGTTCCAAGTACACAGCCCATTACTATGTATTATAGAGAACTTCCCTCCTCTTCGCTGCGAAAACTTGTTACACCAGTTTAAAAATATGTCAGGCATGCATCTCCTTCCTCTAACATTAATCATTAATTAACGTGCGATACTGACATTTCTGGTTGCTACTTAATAGAGCAAAACAGTATGTTATGTGCGTTTCTGACTACGTCTATCAATACTCCAACACTGACGTCTCAGCATACCCAGCTGTCAGTGCCAGTGCAGTCCTATGTACGGGAAGCCCATTCTGCAGCCCCTCTGGAAATGCTGCCCAAACCAGGGACACGAGAAGAAGCCCATGTTTGCAAAACTCCCTTTGGCTCTCTGACTCTTTTTCCTTGTGTTACAGGCCAAAATTCAAGTTTCTTCTCACAGAATGTGCTTGTTGTAGTTATTATTACAAATAGCTGAGACTAGATGCACTGAACTAAACAACTATGGTCTTATTCACCTGTTTTGGACTTTCTTCACAAATAGTTTTCATTTTGGGTCTCTTTTTTTTTTTTTTTTTCTTTTCTCTTTGCATGTGGCCTGGATTTGATAAGCAATTGGTAGAACTGAGCAGTCAGAAAGAAAATGTAAAATGGTGGAAAACTATCGGGTTTTTATTTGAATTTCAGGAAGCTTAAAAAGCTCCAGAGTAGAATACAGAGCCCTCTTGTGTGAGGCAGTGTACATAAAGGAAAAAAAATCCATGTTTTAGGAAGCTGGTAATTTACATTTTGAACGTAAAGCAATGGATAGACAAAATAGGGAATAAACGTGCACTGGGATACGAGATAACTGTGAAAGAAACAGGGTTTAGCTAAAGCAAAGGTTGGATTACGTTTACGGTCATTCTAGTTGACTTACTGTTGTGATAAACATGGTATTATGTTTTGTTGTTTGTGTAAGAGTGGCTGTTGGAAACCTCAAGACAAGGCCATGGCTGATTGTACAAAGTATTGTACAAAGAGCAGGTAGCGTACAGTCACTGTTATTCTTGTTTACAATCAGTAATCCCACACGAGATATGCTTCATGACTCATTTATACAACTTTTCCTCATGATTGACCACGTCCCTTTTTTTGGCAAGGCACTTGCAGGTAGAGCCAATGAAAGACTTTGGTGTCACAGCACGCCTTGCCTTTCAGTGCCTGGCTGGCAGAACGGATCTCCAAACAGCAAGATAAAATTACAGTGATCAAAACTTTGGCATTTGTCTGTGACTCAGCTGACGTCCCAGCCCAGATGTCACTGATGCCTCTCTCGTACCAGTTCAGTGGCTTTTGTGGTGCTGTCACTCAGGTCTGTGTACTGATCGAGATTAAAACAAACAGGACAAACCTCCAAGATACAGATGAGATGGGTGGTCTGCGAGATGGGTAAGAAGTTGGCTCTCAGGCCACACTTAGGATGGTGGTCAATGGTCTCTACTCAGGCTGGCCAGCTGTCACAAGTGGGGTCTTCCAGGGATCAATACCGCACCCCATGCTGTTCAACACTGGATGGTGGGATTGAAAGCATCCTCACCAAGCTTGCTGATGACACTAAACTAGGTGATGAGGTGGACATGTCAGAAGAAGAGCCACCTGGACAGGCTGGAGGAGTGGGCTAGCACAAACTGTATGAAGCTTAACAAAGGCAAGTGCGAAGTCCCACACATGGGACAATATAACCTAAGAGCCCAATACAGCCCAGGATCTGTGTGGTTGGGGAGCAACCTTGCTGAGAGGGACCTGGGGGTCCTGGTGGACAACAAGCTGAATGCAAGTCATTGGTGCACCCCCACAGCAATGAAGGCAAATGGGATCCTGAGCTGCATCTGCAGAGACATTAGAGACATGATCATCCCACTCAACTCAGCACTTGACAGGCTGCACCCAGGGTGCTGTGTCCAGTTCGGGTCTCTGCTATTTAAGAAAGACACAGACAGACTGGAGAGGGTCCAAAGGAGTGCCACAAAGATGATCAAAGGGCTGGAGAACTTGTCCTGTGAGGAAGGACTGAAGGAGTTAGGTCTTTTCTCCCTGGAGAAGAGAAGGCTCAGGGAGAACCTCATCACAGTATTCCAGTACTCAAAGGGCTGCTACAAAGAGGGACAAGGCTCTATCTTCACAAGGAGCCAGATGGAGAAGACAAGAGGCAAGGGGTACAAGGTGCACCAGGAGAGGTTTCATCTTGTTATAAGAAAGACTGTTTTACAGTGAGAACAATCACTCACTGGAACAACCTCCCCAGGGACCTGGTAGAGTCCCTGTAGCTGGAGGTTTTCAATATGCGACTGGACAGGGTGCTAAATAATCTCATCCAGGCTCCCTTTCCCATGAAATGCTGGACCAGTTGGTCTTTTGAGGTCTCTTCCAGTCTGGGCCGTTCTATGATTCTACGAACATTTTCAGAAGGAGCTTGTATCTTTTTTTTTTTTTTTTTTAACCCAGATATTTTTGCATTTGATTTAGAGTGTCATGGGATAAAATCAAGCGGTTGGAGACGACAGATAGCAACCTCTGAAACCAAATCCACTGCCAGAGGGACAGGATTATGAAACTCCAAAAGTGGTGAGCCAAGCTTCAAAAAACCTACTACTGTTAACTTTCTGATAAGTAAAAGATGGGAGGTTTATCTCCTATCCTGTAAGCTGCAGAGAGCAGCTTCCATTCCTCCCCTGGGTGATTAGGGTATATGTATGGAAAGTAAGAGATGAGTTGGAACAGCCAGATGGCTGAGAGACAACTGAGTCTCCTAGACTGACTCTTCCTAGACAAGCACTTGAGATACCATCACTTGCTGTAAAAAATGGCCAAGATAGGATCTGTGGAGAGCAGAGACAGTCAGCATTTATTGGGAACTCTCTAGGAACGCCTTTAGCGTTTAGTCCTATTTGCAATTAAGCCAGAAGAATATCTAATTTCCAGGTTATGTTCTAACTTAATTGAGAAACAGCCCGAAGCTATGGCTGTGGCCAGTGCCGTTCTTTACCTGTACAGAAACAGATCTGGAGGCATCAAGAGCTGTAGTTATTAACTTTTCTCCAGCCAGCCTTCACACTCTTCCTTTTGTCTTCTTCTGGACTCCCAAATTCACCCCTGTCCCCTTCTCTCCTCAGTACCT